TGTCAAAATTGATTCAAAAAACTCTCCTAAGCATTAAAATAAACTTTTCCCTTCTCCAGAAGAATCCAAACATTCATAGAGGCATAGGGTGTTCTCTTTCTCATGCATATCCTCTTCATCCATGATACTTAGGAGTTTTCTCAAAAGCCAAATATTAGATTGCATGAATCTTGTAACCTTAAAATCAAAATCCTATGATCAATTATTCAACCCCTTGTTTGTTGATACACAAAATTAACAAACTTTCACGTCTTTTTCCTCCATGCGTGACTTTTTGGGACCTCTTCAAGGTTCCAAATATTATAGTGCATGGATCCTAGAATCTTAAAAACAAATCTTAACTAATCCACCCTTTGTTTGTTAACACAAAGTCAACAAATAAACACCCTCTCCTTCTCTTTGCATGATAGCTTGAAGTCCCCTAAAAACTTCAACAACATCACAATCCAATTTTAGGTTCTTTCGTTTAACTTGTTGGAGCACAAAATCAACAAGTAAAATTTCTTTCTAAGACTAAGGATCCAAATCCTAGCCTTCCTTCCCCATTCACTTAGCCTAAATTAAGTGAGTGTATATCCTTCTCATTGAAACACCAAGTGCTCAAAGAGATACCTCAAATTTGCAAACTACAAGTTGCACATTGTTTTCCCATATTTACCCAACACAAATTTGGTAAATAGCGATCCTTTATTGAAGGCAAATCAATGATCCACCCATCCCTCTCATGCATGAATAATTTGGAGCATCTGAACGCTCCAAATACTTCATTGCATGATCAGTTATTTCACCCCCTTAGTTTGTTGAAGCACAAAATCAACAGGCAACCATCTCTTCCTTCTCATGCATGATGTTTGGAGCCTCCAAAGGTTCCAAACAACATCATCACATGAATCTCTGGATTTTGCCTTTGGGAAACCTAGAACTTCTGCTGCGAGCTGCATCAAAAGGCTTCTGCCTTGGGAAACCTAGAACCATATTATAAAATTCTCACAAAATGAAGGTGAAATCCTTAGGTAGTGCCTTATCTGCAATTCAATCTACCTCCTGAATATTGATAAACTCTCACAGCATTATTGGGCATGAATTTTAGAATCCTAAGAGATGCATAGTTATATGCTTTTTACGTATGACAATTTTAATTAGTGAAACATTTACTAAAACAAGTGAATCTCTGGATTTTAGAAATAAATCCTAATTCATCTTTCCTTTGTTTGTTGATATACATAGTTGACTAACATTTGCCTTTTCCTCCTCCATGCATGATTCTTGAAGTCTCTTCAAGATTCCAAAGGTTCCATAACATAAAGTTCTTGAACTTAGAGCCAAATTTTAAGTTTTTTATCCTATTCATTGGAACATAAAACCTATGGGCAACCTCCTAGACCTAGAATTTAAAACCTAGTCTTCTTCACCATTCACCTAGCCTAAATTAAGTGAGTGTATGTCTCTTTCTTTGAACATCAAATACTCAAAGAAACTCCTCCATTTATTTAGCATAAATTAAGTGGTGACCCCTCTTTAAACACCAAATGTTCAAGGGATTTCCCTCAACTTGCAACCCATAAGTTGTATATTGCTTCTCCCCTAACCTACAAGTTGTTGGAAAACCTCTCTTACACCCAACCCAAGTTAGGTGAATGAGCACATCTTTCCTTGAACATCTAAAAATTCAAGGAGATCTTTCCTGAATTTGCAATTTCTAAATTGCATATCCTTCTCCTTCTTTTCCACAAATCAAAATTGTTGAGAAATCCATCCCTCTACAACCCAAAGATTGTATAAAATCTCTCCATTCGCTTAGCCTAAAGTGAGTGAGTGGTCATTTCTCTCTTTGAACACAACATTTTTAAGGAGTATCTTCAATTTGTAATTCATAAATGGCACATTGCCCTTCTCTCTTTCCCACAACTTAAAAGTTGTAGGAAACCTTGAAAGAGGAGGCAAGTTGCATGGTTTAGGGTTGAGGGAAACTGATTTGATGTCTAATGAGTTGGAAATTGTAGTTTGGTTGAACTCTTGGCTATTACTAGGAAAATAGAGGTCAACAATCTAAGTCGGATATGAGAGAGAGAGAGAGAAAGAGAGAGAAGCACAAGTGGTTGAGAAGGTATGGGATTTGGGAATCACGTTGCTAGAGTTAAGAGGCTAGTAAAAGAGTTGTGGTCAAGTGCTTTGGAGGGGAAACAATGTTCATGAGTGGATACATAGGAGAAGACTATGCAAGTGAGAGGTAGCACAAGAGATTGACGTAACGAGCTAGGTTGGGATGTTTTGAGAAGCGGACAAAGGGGTGTAGGTCGCAGTTTGAATAAGGGATGAAGTGGGAGTCAAGGTTTTTTGTGAGATGAGGTCTATTCAATGGGATTTTTTCTTTTTTTTTCCTTTTTTCTTTTTCGATATAAAACGGGAGTTAGGGACATAAGCGATTTTATAAGAGGAACAAGCACATGATAGAGGAGGGCGCGCCTTTGCAATTGGGGGAGTTGTGGGAGACATGGGTGAGTACGGCAATTGGGTAGGGTTAGGATAAGCATTAACCCTTTCTAAGATAATAATAATAATAATAATAATAATAATAATAATAATAATAATAACAACAACAACAACAACAACAACAATAATAATAATAATAATAAAGTAATATTAAACTTTATTAATTTTGGTATTTTGAAACAAGTTTGTGTATATTGATCCCTTCTCGCGAAATTATCATCTCTCGTACAACTCAATTTTAGATTGCCAACTTGCGCACAAGAAAATTTAATTCATCATCTCTCACGCAAGTATGAAATTTAAAAAAATTTCAACATGCAATAACCTAGGAAAAATGGGTGTCTTTCCTGAGTAATTTTGGCATTTCAAATGCATTAGTGCAGTTCATTTTACGAAATGAGCAACTATTAAGCATTTTCATCATGGGTGATGTGTTTCAAACCATATCATGTGCAATTTTGTATCCATTGTCTACCTTTTATTGTTGTACTCAATTAGATTCTATAGGAGACCTAGGACAACATATAAGCATCTCTTTCCGAGTAGTAGATCTCTTTTATGACAAATTTGATGTTTGAACCAAGAGGCGGTTGGGCTTGAAGTAAAGAGGATGGTATCAAGGAAAATGCAAGAATTTGATAGCCAATAATGTTGGGAGCAAGATCGAGGTGGCCATGCATATCTGGCGGTCGTACTGCTAAGGACATCCAAGAAGAAAGTGACAAGTGTCCATAAGAATAACATCACACAAAAATTTGGTCTTGTAACTTGCCTACAATGAAAAATGGAACAAAACATTGTTTTCTTATATTGATTTCATTGACTTTCTTGAGCCACAAAAGCTGATATGGCCTTGGATGTGGAATGGTACGAAGGTTCAACTTCTTAATCAAAGTGTGGATACTATATTTTCAAAGCTTCCGCTATCTATCATCAAATTGCATACCTTGCCATATACGGTGCATCTTGCTCGAAAAGATTATAACATAGTCATTCATTCTCCTTTTCACATTGGATATTTAAAAGACATTGAGCCACCAACAATTCTCCTTCATATGCATATAAGAGTTGTTCTTCTATAACCTCATTAGCTTCTTGTTGTGTTTGAGGCGTGCTTTTGCTTTGTACTTCTTCCATCACAGTCATGATGCGTTGTGTAAGATAATTGGCTACAACATGTCCAAAACCATGACATTTAAAACACTTACGTGCGAGAAGGGAGGTGGTGGCTGTGGTTGGAGGGGTTGAAGTTAGAATAACAAGTATTACTGCATTTTCTAATTTTTGGCCATCCACAAGAGCTATTGTCAGAGGTGATTATAGACCTAGTCTCCTACTGAAATGGGTTTCTATTCTTTGTTACTTTTCTACCTTGAGAGAGGTTAATGATGTCGGTGATAGTCCAATATGATTGAAGCTGCACCAGGTTGGTGGAGGGGTTTAAACCTCCAATAAACCGTGTTATAGTATTTTCTTCAAGTTCCACTAGGTTGCATTTAAGTGTTAGTTGTTTGAATTCAATTATTAACACTACACCGAAAGTTCTTGTTGTTGAAGATAGTGTAGTCAAAGGAACATATCCTACTAGTAGTGGGCCGACAAGAATTTCCTCAACATTTCTCCTTCATCTTGTCTCAAGAGTCAAGAGTTGATCTTGGTTTTCCCCTCTCATTGTCTTGTGCGCTTCAAGTTCTCCCACCATAAGGATGTATTGCTTTTTAATTTGATTGCTACCAGTTTTATAATGCGATCATGGGGTACTTCTCTGTATTCTACGGTGTGAAGTAAATTAAGAAATTCATCCTGGTCTAAACTTCCATCAAAATCTGGAATATCGATCTTGATGTTGCAGTTGTGAGGGAGTCTCTTGGTTCACATCGATAGTAGCGAAGAGGTGGTGGTTCTTCTTCTCCACTAGAGGTTTCTTGATGAAAATGGTTCTCTTCATCTTCTTGATAGTTTCCTTTACTTCGATGTTCGGTTGGATGACGAAGTTCCATCAACGCAAGCCATTCTTGAAGTTGGTGAATCTCCTATGGCTGCCGGGGAAAGAAGATGAGGGGAGGCCACCACCTAGAAGTCATTCCAAGATACAGAAAAGAACAAAGACAGAAAACCAATTTATGAAATTTTATTTCTAAAAAAATGAATTACAACAGAGAGAAAGCTCTATTTATAAGAATTGAGCTCCTTGATGACTAGGATAGAGTAAGAACTAATCCTATTGATGACTAGGATAACTACCAATAGGATAAAACATAAAATCCAAATTAGGCTGATTGTTGAACCGATTGGTTGAACCAACTGGTCTTGGTAGCACCAGCATCAATGGATAAGTGATGCCAAAATCTACAATCAACCACAAACTAGTGGATTCATAGAAAAAAGTGATAGTGCCCCATAACACTCACAAGTCCCTAAACAAAAGGCAAATAAAATATATGTTGAAAATAAAGTCGAAATGCAGCATAAACATAAAGCATATATCAGAAAGCAACAATGCTAACCTTTTCACAACATTCAAGCTCTATCTTCAACTGTTTGTCATTGCTTCTTTTCATGCCTTTTTCAATATCCTCTAATTTTCTTTCCACAAATTCCAAATCCTAGAAAAATAACAATAAATAGGAGTTAAAATAAACCTATGTTCCAAATTCAAAATAGCTGCACTCTAATCATATACTTCAAAACTAGCACAGTCAAAAACACAACGCATAAATGAAAAAAAAAAAGCTTGAGAGGAATAAAATTGAAATATAAAATAGAATGTAAAATGTGAGATTAAGTATCAAATAACTCATATCTGGTAAGGAAAGTCAAAACCGCTGCCTAAATACACAATGAAACCAATTTATTCAAAATATATTTACCAACAACATCAGTAAAATGGAGAGAAATGAACATCCTTGGAATACAATAGAAAAGTGGAAAATAAAACCCTCGCTTTCTAATCTACATATTGATCATGTTACATGCATAATCTCAACTATATTATAGCTGAAATACAATCAAAAGTAATTCATTGTCTAGTTTCAACATCAGAAACATCATTTCTATTAGAAAATCATGAATATTACAAAGCGTTCGCCCAAATTGAAGGGAAGAATTAAAAAGGAAAAAAGAACTTATCCATGTGTGCACAGTTTCTATAAATCAGGAATATCAACTAATACTTGCAAATAAGGAATCTAGTAATATTCACTTCTTTTATCAATGGCACTTGGGCAACTAGCCGTACATGTAACACTGATTTCCTACATGAACCAAACATTATGTTAGGAAAAAATGACAGCAAATGAATTAAATTAAAAAACACTTTAATATGGCGCTCAAACATCTGCGTCCTCCATCGATCCAAAACTGAGCAACTTTACAATTGACTAACAATTAATAGTTTAAAATTAGCAAATGTATTGGATGACTTTCACTTTGAAGAAAATTGAAAGCATTAGGCACGAGTACTCGAGTAGTATCTCCTCATATCCCATGTCAAAACCAAGTTAAGCTATTGTTCGTCTGGACAGGCCTTAGACAATGAAAAATCTTCTGTGGCCCTTAAATTTAACCATGGACGAAGATAATCAGGAGTAAACAGAAGTTAACTAGCAAAATAATGTTACTTAAAGGAATAATCTTCAAGTATATGTTCAATTTTTCAGGTGTGAAAGTAAGAAATACCTTTAGACGGAGTTCTTCTGTTATAACCTCCAAATCCCTAACAGGGTCTACTGAGTCGTCCACATGAATGATATCTGGGTCTTCAAATGCTCCTATTTAACCATGTTCCAATTGAATGAATTTCATTAGAAAAAAGTATCCTCTAAAGGTGTAAAAACACCCATAGCTAATTATGGTTCAAAAGAGCAGGAATGCTTTTCCTGCTACTGGATTAGAGCATTTTGATTCAATATGATAGGCAATGTTTTCCATCATATAGAATGAAACTATCTGTTAGACAGTTCATGAACATAGTGAAGAAAATAGAGAGTACAGTCGAATAAGAAAATTTTCAGAATCAATAGTTTTCATCACCATTTTAAAACAAGTGATAAGTATTAGTAAATTAATTTTAAGGTAGATATTTGGCATAATATCATATTGCAAAAACCGGACAAAATGACAAAAAAGGATTTATGTAGCCGACCCCACGTAGTGGGACAAAGGCTTTATGTTGTTGTTGTTGTTGTATCATATTGCAAAATAATTTCCACAGACTCACCCAGATCTTTAGTTGTAGAAGTCAGAATTTGTAACAGTACAGAGCATACGTTCTTAGCAAAAATGCATCTTCCTAAGGAACTCCAGCACCTACTTTAAATATATTCCTATCAATACATCATGGACTAATCATCTTATTTAAGTGTTGCATTTTTCTTCCTCAACATTTAATATTGGTTATGTGCCCTTCCTCTGCCAAAGCTATTCTATGCACCTATATGAACATCCACACTACCGCAACCATATCATCATCATTAGTCTTATTTCAACCATCGATTAAAAAGGCGTTTGAGGCTTACGCCTCGATCCGCCTCGAGGCTTACGCCTCGCCTCGCTTAGAAAAAACGCCTCGATTCCCTATTTCGCCTTTTAAAACCTTGATTTCAACTATATGAATACGTGCTGATCATTTGTTGAAGTTGAGTGCTGCATGAATTAATACTATTTTGTAAAAATCTTTTTGTACAACTATACAAGTCACCTTTGATATGCCAATTTTTCTTTCTAATCCTCCAATATTAATTTTATTCCCACATCTTATTGTTTGTATAGTCATGATTGTTCAATAAGTTTTATGTTGGTTGTTAACTATCTAACACAACCCTCCACTTTTCTCATCCATGTCTTGGGACCTGACAATAACAATGTTGTTGTTATAACTTATTGCTTATATTCTATCTTTCATCGCACATGAAAAAAGAAACTAAGTCTAGTTTCCACTACATAATCTTCAATAGATGTTACTCCTAATCTCTCTTTAATAAAATAATTTCTCAATATACCACCTTATCTTTCACACAATTACCATAACATTCTAATTTTTGCCATGCTTAACTAGACTACAAATAATTTTTATTACTGCTCAACATTAAGCTCTGTAATAATTGCAATTCTATAAACTGCAAGTAGTCTGACTAATTGCAATTATAAAAAGTTCACCTTTAAGACTACATAAATTCCCTAGTAGCATGGAACGTTTGAAACATTTCTCCATTTTAACCATCATGACATACTTCTAGAAGTTAATCCTAATATATGTATGTATTTCCTATATAAAAGATAATAAAAGATAAGATACTTAGACCATTATAGTATCTACGTAGCACTTGCTAAAGGTAGCAAGTAGAAATATTCGTGGACAATCATTAATAACATACAAACTAAAATTGTTTATCACAAACTTAAGCTTTATTCAACTAATCTAAAGCTCTTTATCTTCCAAACAGTTTCTTCATTATTATAACTTCTCACTCACTCAAGCAAAATATCTCACGTATTAGAACAACATAGTTTGCAAAAAACATAAATCATGGCTCCTTATTGTGAATATCATATATCATATCATATCATATATATATATATATATATAATTACAACTAATACTAGCCAGTACTCCATCATCATCATCATCATCATTAGCATTATCCCAACTATTTAAGATAGTTTTTATGAACCCTCATTTTTCATTTGATCCTTTTGAGTGCGCATAAGTTGTAAAATCTATCCACACTGGCTAAGATCTACCTCCATTAATTTCTTTTTTTATTTTTAATGCTAATTTTATCTACCCATCTAATTGATGCATTTTCTACCCCTTGTTATACATGTCCAAATCACCTAAATCTTTTTTTCAACTGTCTTTATCATTTAAATAAATGAAAACCCAATTGCTCATTTAATATAATTATTCTTCAATTTATTCTCCCTAATTTTATCACACATCAACCTAGATATTCTTAATTCCACTTCCATTAACTTAGGTTTTTTTTCCTACCCAACATTGGTCCATGCAACATAATCAACCAAGTTTTATTTCATAAAAATAACCTTTAACTTTCCTTTAAAATCCTCTTATCGCATGTTACTCCTGAGGTACTTCAAAATACCTTCAACACACATTTTTACTTAATGCACATCAAATCAATTGTGGTAGTGATTATATATATGCCATAACAAGATCAGAAAAATTTATATGAAGAACATTTCCATGCCCTCCATACTTTTCGATACATATTTGTGGGGAAAAAAAACTCTGCATTGAACCTTCCTAGCATAAACAAATTTAATTATTTAATACAAAGATTTTTTTCCATAGTGTCAATGTAAAACTTATAATAATAACTCCTATAATTACCACAAACTTAAGCAATTCCTTTGTTCCCTAATTTCATATCAAAATGTTTTTTTCCCCTAGTCATTTGGCATCCTCGTATTCTTCAAAATTTCATTAAAATATTTGTTAGCCAAACTACTCAAATATCATCCGTAACTCTCAAAATCTCATTATGCATCTTATCAAGACAAGACATTTATACTTTTTTTTTCCGGAGCAAATTACTCTACTTTTTTCCTTGGCACAATCCATAATCTAATCATTTTTATATCATTATACTCATCCAAAATTATGCCTTTATTTAATCTCCTATTTAATAATTATAAGCATTTAAAATTTTCACACTTCAAGCCCAGATACTTGAAATTGTTTATATAAAATTGAAGTTAGGGCACCTATGAGTTTTCTGTAGGTATGTTGCAAATTCAATAGATGTTAATAGTTCATAATAAATGAAAGTGACAAAACGTGCAATGAAACATCAAAAAAAAAAAAACCATGAGGTGTGCTAAAATGCAGATTTTCTCTTTGCAACATCCTTCAAACCACTACTAGTGAAGGTCATCAGCAAATTTCATTCTAGTCCTCCGGAACAAGCAGGAAAGCGGCATGAAAACATTAAGAAAAAAAAGATTTCTTCCAGTATTGGTTCAAACGAATACATCTGAGAAAAAACCAACGATGAGAGAAATGCATACCTTCCATTTAAAAGTGAAACTAAGGCTGAAGAAGCTGTTTTAAAAAATGTATGCTGCAAAGTCATTCAGAACTCTTTCATGCTTCCTTCGCTATTACTAATGCACATTAAGGTCTTATATGTCAGATCATTTTCAGAGCTAGCTACAAAACTGACATTTTTTATCGGAAAAATTTCCACCTTCATCATCATAATTAGCCTTATCCAAATACATGAGGTTAGCTCTATGAATCCTTTCGTATCACTCAATCCTAATAGTATGAATTCCAATCATGCTAAATAAGATATCTCCCTTTCTTTAGCATACCAGTTGCGTTTAACTGTATCTATCCGCCACATTGATGCATTTTTCTTCTCCTTTCACGATTGAAAGAACAAACAATATTGTCATTATTAACTCATTAAACTAGGTTCAGCTTAGGCAAAGAAACAATGTTCCTCGTAATGCTAGTTCAAGAAAAATGGTTGCATTTTCCACTTGTCAATCATTAACTTGCCACATGGTCCTAGAAAATCAAAAACAAATATTTAAAATTTTTTGACAAAAACCTTACTCAGGACATGGAAAATTCCATCAACTGCACGAATATGGGACAAAAAATTATTCCCCAAACCCTGTCCTTGATGAGCACCTCGTACTAGCCCAGCAATGTCATGTATTTCCAAAAATGCAGATACCTGAAATTTCAACATTCAACATATTTTTTGTCTGAAACAAAATTGGGATGAAAAAATAGAAAATAATAATGTTCTTATTTTGATGTCAACAAATAGGATGAGATGGACAATTTGCAATCACGTTAACAACTGATCTGAATAATATTTTGACATCACAGATCCAAACGATATAGAAGAAGCAAAGATTAATGCAACTATATACGACCAGCAAAAGACATATAACTTATTTTCTAGCTATCGGTTATCTCATAAGCTTGCCCACCATTGTCCTTAAATGCATCAAGATAGATCCAGTGGGGGAATTGTGACTTTGGGGAATCAAGTCATTAATAAAAGTATACGTTTTAGATATCTTGAGTCTATTATTCAAAGTGATGGCAAAAAAGATGGGAATATTATTAGTAGAATTGAAGTTGGATGGTTGAAGTGGAGGAATGCATCAGGCTTGTTGTGTGACAGAAAAGTCCCCCTCAAACTTAAGGAAATATTCTATAGGATGGTGGTTAGACGTACTATGTTTTATGGTGCAGAATGTTGGCCATTAAAAGAGAAGCATAATATTAAGTTTAGTGTTGTAGAGATGAGGATGATGAGCAAATTTACTCTTACAGACAGGATACGAAATGAGCATATACATTAAAAGGTTAGAGTAGCTCCACTAGAAGATAAGATTAGAGAGTCGCCTTAGATGGTTTGTTCACATAAAACGGTGGCCTTCTAATGACCAGTAAGGAAAGTAGATGTATTAGATTTAACTTATGTTAAGAAAGGTAGAAGTATACCTAAAAAGACTTGGTTAGAAAATATTAGAAATGACCTTTCTTTGTTAGATTTAAATGAGAATTTAACTTTGAACATGGCACAATAGAGAAAAATGATTCAAGTAGCCGACCCCACATAGTGGGATAAAGGCTTGAAGTTGTTGTTGTTGGTGGTGGTGGTGAGACCTACAATGCTTTATGGCGCAGAATGTTGTCATTAAAAGAGAAGAATAATATTAAGTTAAGCGATGTGGAGATGAGGATGCTAAGGTAGATGAGCGGCTTTACTCTTGGAGACAAGAAACGAAACAAGCATATACATGAAAAGGTTGGAGTAGCTCTAATGGAATACAATATTAGATAGAGTCGCCTTAGATGGTTCGATCACATAAAACAATGGCCTTCTGCCAGTTAGGAGAGTAGATGTATTAGATTTGGCTTATGTTAAGAAAGGTAGAGGTAGATCTAAAAAGACTTGGTTGGAAAATATTAGAAATGACATTTCTTTATTAGATTTAAATGAGAATTTGACTCTTAACAGACACAATGGAGAAAAATGATTCATGTAACCAACCCCACATAGTGGGATAAATGCTTAATGATGATGATGATGATGATGTTGTTGTTGTTATATAACTAAAAAAATTCATTGGCAAAGCTCATTTTTTATGAATTTTATTTATCCCAAAAGCCTGAAAGAACACATCACGAGAAACTTGTGGTTTGGATGGAAAATTTGGTATACAAAAGTATAAAAAATTGCTTATGGTGAATATACATAAAGGAATTGATAACAAATGTGCAATTAGATTAAAGGAAAATATACAGAGTATTGTGCTACAAACCTCACTCTTTGGCTTGTACAATTGGCAAAGCCAATCGAATCTTTCATCAGGCACATTAATACGTGCCTCATTGGGCTCTATGGTGCAAAAAGGAAAGTTCTCTGCAGGAATTGACAACTTCGTAAGAGTGTTGAAAAGAGTTGACTTTCCAACGTTTGGTAATCCGACCTACATAAAAGAACGAGAATGTCAGCAATTAGATAAGCATAACAATTGCTGAGAGGCTATTTTGTTTGCTAACCATAGGCATGTAATGTAATGTTATAAAAAAATGTTAGTCGTTTGGTTCAAAACATCTTGAAATCATAATTCTATAAATGGCAGTAAAGTTTTGTTTTAATAACATCTATCTGTAGCCAAATTATTTGAAATGTAGATGTCCGGCAATCTGCAGTTTTAAAAATGTAATAATAAAAAAATGGATTATACACTCAATTGATATTTCGAGAACACATCATTGTTTAGCTAGCAAAGCTATCTACATAATATTGAACTAAACTGCCCTTAACCCAAAGACTTCAACATATAAACTGGCAAATAAATATTAGAGGGAACGTCAGAGTAGCCCAAAATGTTTCTCACAAGTACCAACATGCGGAAACGTTCATTTGAATCTTAACTAAAATAATAAAACACATAACACAAAAATTAAAGAAGATGCATTGACTGCCACAACATCTTATCATACTCTAATGGCAGTATTCTATGAAAAAAAACAATGGTTCGATTACATTCGGCGACTTATTAAAAATGGAATTTGCAAATTGCAGGTACAATCAGAATAACTTCAAAAAAATAAAGCAATAAAAACACTTCGGCACCAAATTTCCCACTTAAGAAACAGATCATCTTATCGCAACAATTAGAACAAAGTCCATTAAGCGGATTATGAACGACTAGGGTAAACATGCATGCAATAAATCTCCAGGTTATTTTTGAAGAGAGGATTAAAGAATCTCACGATTCCAATCTTGAGGTGCGACGAAAAGCGTCCCAGAATGGGCCGCTCGGCGGTAGCCTCTTTAGATTTGGCAGCGGCCTTGGGTGGCATATCGTAGTAGATCAAGTTGGCAGAATACTCGCAATTTTAGGGTTTGCCCCCGTGTCCCGGTCACGGGTTTTTCTCTCGTTTAAGTGAAGCTGCTCGAGTGAGAACTTAGGCTTATTTTGGTTATTGGAACCTTTTGCAAAATAAAAGGTAATTTTAAAAGTATTGATCGAAAGAATGGAGCTTTATACATAATAATAATAATAATAATAATATATATTTTTTTGTAAAAAAATATTTTTACATTAAAAATATCACATTCAAATAACAATTGAAAAATAACTTTTTTAATTCGAGATGAAAAAAAGTAAAATTAAGCACAAATGAGACCTTATTGGTGGGACTCCAAACGGAGTAAATGAGCCCCTTTGAGAGGAGTAATTATTTTGTCCGGACACTGAATGAATCCAGAGATCAATAACAAAGTGCCACGTCACTCAAGTGCTCGGTACAGCACTCGGTACCGCGCTCGGTACAATCGATATGCTCGGTATTTTATCCGAACGTAATATTTTTTCCTTTGAGAGACTAGTTAGTTTTTTTTTTTCTTTTTTGTTAGGCTCTTCTGAAATAGATAGTGAAATATCATGATATTATTAGTAGAATTTAAGTTGTATATTTAAAGTAGAGGAATGTATCAAATTTGTTGTCCGGTAGAAAAGTCCCTCTTAAATTCTAAAAGAAAATTCTTTAAGTTGGTGATGAGACTTGCAATGAATTATGATGCAGCATGTTGATCATTAAAACAGAAGCATAATATTAAGTTAAGTGTTGCAAAGATAATGATGCTTATGTGCATGAGTGGCTTTACTTTTAGAGACTGAATACGAAACAAGTATATACAAGAAAAAATTGGAGTAGCTATAGTGGAAGATAAGATTAGAGAGAGTCGCCTAAGATAATTTGGTCACATAAAATGAAGGCCTTTCGATGACCCAGTTAGGAGAGTTGATGTATTAAATTTGGATTATATTAAGAAATGTAGAAATATATCTAGAAAACTTAGTTAGAAAATAGATTATTAGATTTAAGTATGAATTTGACTCTTAATATGACACAATGGAGAAAAAAGACTCATGCGGCGGGCCCAATGTAGTGGGATAAAGGCTTGATGATGTTGTTGTATTGTTTTTTCCATGATTGAAATTATTCATAAATAATATTTTCAAATATGCTCATTACAATTTTATTAATAAACGACTTAATTTTAAGCAAATAAAGATGAATAAACAATAATCGTTTAGGCCGTTATAATGACAAAGATATAAATAAATTTTTTATCTTGAAATTTTGTTATATCTTAAGAAATGATTCAAGTGTTACATGCAATAAAAAATATTATGAAAAATGAAATATAAATGTATGAATTATAATTAAAATAACACTCAAATGAATGTGTTATAACTAACAAAATATGATATAAACATAACTTTATTAAATTGTTAGGGTTCTATGGCATATATATAATGAAATTTATGTATGTCGAATCTAAATACCAAGAGGAAAGATCTAACATTGAAATATACAAAATTAAAATCCAAGTCAAATACTCTTAACCACATACACATTTATTGTGGTAAATTGATAAATGGAGGTATATTTTGAGCTAAGGAGCATCATATCAGTTCTTATGAGGCATCTAAAAGAAGTGATGTAATACTAAATGATATCATATACATAATATGATAACTCCATGTGATACCCTATTGATCTATGTGATTCACTGATTGGGAGATATAAGGAGTTTGAGATTAATTAGGAGTTATAAAGAGTCGGGGCAACTAGTTCGCGTGATTCAATGGGAGTTATAAGTAGTACAATAATTAGAAGTTATAATGGGCAACTAATTGGGAGTTATAAGCGTAGGAACAAGATACCCTTAAAATACACTCATCGAATATATGAATATTGATATTGACACTGTTATGAACATTGTATTGACATTGTGACTGACACTAATATTGTTTACTATCCTGAATACTATTTAATATTATTAATCATGATACTAATATTACTACTGATATTAGTATTGTTGACTATTAATGTTATTGTGACTAATGATGTAATGGATTGAAATATGATGAACTATAGAAAAAAATTGATGTAGATAATCAATATAGACATTGATGCATATATTTCTTTATAAGATTTATAGCATATTATTCTCTTTTATCTTGCGTTGATTTTAATTGTAAGATTTTAGTTACTTGCTAGAATATTTTCTCATTACATGATTTTAGGAAAGAGTAAATATCCTACGATATAAGGCTCCATATAATACAAATATGCAATTATGTTTCTTTCCGCTATTCATTGATAAGCTATAGTTAGATGGCTAACTTGAAAAGGCCGATGTAATTCTTTCAATATAGATCCTAAAATGTGACAAGTGATGTGACAAATATTTTATTTGAGATAATTTTTTTTATTTTTTAAAATAGCTTTCTAATACAAAATTTTCTAGTTTAAGAAAATTTTATAGTAAAAAGCTGTTCTAGAAATCAATAAAAAAATCCTCCAAAATGAAGCCAAAATACAAGGTGCCTTCAAGCGTACAATAGGAGCTAGTTGCTTGTCAAAAAAGAAAAAAAAAAATTAAAACAAAGCTTACATATGAAATATAATGAGAGGATTAATGAGATTACTAAATAATTAGATGTTAAATATTCATACATTATAGAAAGAGATCATTTGAATCAAGTTCTAAAATGGAAAGCATCAAGACACCTAAAATGTAAAGTCCTATGGATTACTTCCTACTTCAAGAACTTGAAAAGTCTTATTAGTTTCAATTGCATAGATAACATTTATGAATGATTAATTGGGTTAGTGGATAATGCCAACGAGCAACATTTGATGATGAGGATTGAACTTAGACATAAATTGAAGAGGCATTAGAAGAAATTGATTAAAAGTGATCTATAAGATTTACTAGATAAAAAATAAGAGGAGGTTCATTCACAATTAAGCAAGTTCATCTCAATGAACATCCACTTGTGTTGTTAAAAAAAGAGATTATTATATTGAATAATACTAATAAGATGAAGATATTCTACTATAGGGAAAAAGAGATTTTATGCATGAAGAAAAAAGATGAAAACTAATATATTTTTTATCTTGTTCTATTAAACTTTATGCATTTAAATTTAATTTTTACTATGAATTAAATATATTTTTATACAATCTTAAGATTTCTAAGTTTTTCATCAAATAATTACACTTGTGACAAACTTTAAATTTTATTTAATTCCTATAAAAAATATAAAATTTAAGAAATTCAAATTTGCATCACTTTCAAAGCACATCTTTAAATTATGTATATACATCATATTTCTTTTCATTTTAGATCAAATTATTGTTTTAAAATACTTCATAATTCTTTTTTTACTTTCCATATTATCATATTATAAAAAAATCATTACTTAATTTACATAATGATATATTAAGTATAAGGACTCTAATTAATAAAAATATTACTTCATTTTGAACATTAAAATTAAAAAAAAAAAATTCCTTATGCATCATCTCATCTTCCCACAAAGGAAAAATTATTCTATGCGGATTCCAAACGGCATCCGGAGACCAATCAAAATGCGCCACATCTCTTTTTTACTCGGTAGCGGTGCTCGATACTGCTCAATACTGAATGACATTACACGTTCTAATTAATCTCTGAACCGTCTAGTGCTTGCACCGAATAATTTCTCCCCACAAAGAGCGTCCGATCTCTGTTACTCTCTCTCAATCAGATCTGAACCAAATCATCAACCGCTTCTACTCTCCAACTCTCAAAATGCTCAGCAGAATAAATACAAATATAGTCATTGCTTATTATTTATACTAAGCCCAAAATCTAAACTCATTTCACAGTACTTAATTTGCATCCGAACTGTACAACAATGGTGATATAACCCGGCCAGCTTTAAGGATGACCTCCCATAGCAGGAAAAACAAAAACATGAATGGATCAGTTTAGAAGAAAAAATATGAAATATAAGCAATCTCTACAGAGCAATTACAGAAGAAGCATATTAAGGATTGAAGAGCTTCCGAAAAGCCCCATCCTTGCGGTCTTTGGCAGCCTCAGTTAAGGCAAGGAACCTCTTGAAGCCTGTGGTGGCAGCTCCTCTGCCAAGAGCAGCAGCACGAGTCAGCACGTCTTCTCGAGATGTAATAGCTACTGAGACAGCCGCGCCTATGGAGGCTGTGGTGGTAGCAGCAGCAGAAGTTATTATGGTATGTGGAACAACTGCGGAATCTGGTTGAGATGGTACAATAACTGATGGAGGAATAGAAGGGTGATTGATGCCTGGACTATGCTTGTTAAAATCATCCAAAATGTTTTGCTGATCAGCTTTCTTCAAACCCTGAAGTATAATAACAGAATGGTTATGCATATTGACATCAGTGGTGGAATAAAAAGGTACTGCATGGGCGGACCCATCTTAAAAGCCAGGGGCAATAGCCCCCCCCCCACACCGGGTGCCGGAAAAATGTATTATATAATAATTTAAGTAATTTGGCCCCTTTGATGTATTTTTTAGTCTTTATTACAAAGGTTTTTAGCCAATTGCCCCCCTAAAGGTTTTAAAATACTATGGTCTCTAGGCAATTCCCCCAACATAATTAAACACATTGTGTAGATATGTTATTGTTAGGGAACGATAAACCAAATACAAAGAGAAATAGTAAAGAAAATCCAAAAATATCCTGGCAAGTTGAATCCCGTTAGGGGGTGCTGCCCCTTTGAACCCCCGACATATCTGCGAAGCGTACAACAATGAACAAATAGGGGTCGAGAGGCAGCACCCTCGGAACAAATTTTGGTTGTAAGGATATTTATGAAAAAAAAAAATTCTACACTTTTACTTATAAGTTTGTCTCCCCTGAAAATTAAGGTTGGATGTGATGTATACTATAAAAATTTTATTGTTAAATTTTCATGTATTTTTTACATTGTAGAACTTTTTTTAGCCTAAATTTAGGATAAGCTCTTTCGTGGAAATACTATTTTGTCACTGATTAAAATGTTTACTCTGCATGCCAATACAGGTATAATTAACTGTGCGTTATAGAAGAAACATTGAGTTAAAGAACTATAGCAAGCTTTTATGTATCAAATAGCCTGAAGTTGCCAGCGATTAGTACATACAAGGAAAAAAAAAAATAATTCGCAATCTCTTGATTAAAATTACTTCAGATTCATCATAAAAAGAAATTGATTTGCTTTAAATTGAATGCAACACATGAATAACCAACCAATATTTATATTGCACTCATTTCAAAATAAGTGAGTTTAAGAACATCTTTCATATCTTGACTCAAAATTTTTTCTGAAAATATTTCATGTACGAGTATCTTTTGATGTAAGAGTTTGACATGCCATGTTACAACTGCATCATAGTGATTCATGCAATTCATTTTGGCTTGGTTTGGATTGAGTTGAAGAAAATTTGGCTCTATTTGGATTGAAGTGAAGAAAATTAAACAAAACTCCAACACTTGGTGTTGATTATGAATCTGCAGAGCTGCTGAAATAAGAATTTCAACTCTTTCTTTTGTCATTTGTTTTCATAAAAAATTTCCAGCAACTAAACACAACCTTTAGGTGTGAAAATCATTGGTTTACTAACAGCTTTAAAGGGGAAAAAAAGGGGAACAACAAAAAAAAGTTATTTCTCTTCCTATCAAGAATCATTGGAAAGAAAATTAGTTTTGAGATGACCTTGAGTTCAAGTATTCTTTGAAACTCCAACGGCGTGCCCTCTGGAAGCAGTGCTCGGTATGTATTAGCAACAGAGTCGAGAGGAGACAATATAACCTACAAAGTAAAAAAAAAAAATTCTTAAAGAATACTTGCAACATTTATTCAGATTTAAATGACCATACCTTCAAGAGTGCTTCTGCTTTGCTCATTTCACGATTTACAAACTTAGAATAACCAGCAGCAACCGTGGACTGCTAAGAAATTATAAACCAGTTTAGACTGATCAACAAAAGGTAGAACCAATGGACTAAATGAAGAACTACCTATAAAGCTAATGACAAGGAAAATTAATACTAAACCTCATCAGCTAAAGTATGCATGTGAAGAAAATGGCACTAATTGCGGGCCTATACCTTTCCTATTAGGGAAAATCTAATGTGGATTTCTTCATTTTAATTAACTAATGTTTTGATGTATGCAGGCTATTTGGTTCTTCCTGTACCTACTCGGCCACTTCTATGCAATTTGTTTGAACTGTCAATAGAAGGCAAGATTCAAATAATTACATAAACTACTATTTGTAAAGGGAATATATAGAAATTAAAATTGAAGGACAATACAATCGAGAAAAGAAAAGACCAAACATGCATTGCAGATTGTGCCAAGCTGCACCATCAGATAACTGTTCATGGCTGAATTAAAGCATTAAATTCGGCCACTTCTATGCACAAGTTCTCAGGTAAATGGTAACTTGAATGGCGAGAACATCAATGACGGATTTTGTATTGGGCAATCCAAAATTGTTTTTATCTTTATGAATTCAACAAAACTACCGTCAGCAGAAATGAAATCGGAGAAAAAATCTTCTAGAGTTGCATAAATCACACCTTAAAAGTTGACATACAACTTTTGACTGCGAGGTGGGGAAACAACAATGCACATGCGACAAAGGTTATAGGTCTCAACAATTCTAAAATTCAATATAACATTAAAAGAAACAACTAAAAACCCCTGAATCTGATACCAAAATTGAAGGAGGCTTGGATCCCATCATCAGGGTCTGCTGAGAACCTGTCGTTTCTAGGGTTTCTTGATGAAAATTTAGGGTTTGGTGAAAGGAAACCAAAACTAGCGTTTAAACATGCAATCAATACCAAAGGTAGTTATGCAATCATGAAGATATGTAAATAAGGTAATGATATCAAATCCAAACTCCTGATGTCATCATACGCATGCATGTAAACCTTTTCCTTTTCCTACTAGCATCTATTCAGTAGAGAGGGAAACCCGACCCCTGGTGATATTTTGATAGGAAAGAGAGAGAGAGAGAGATGTGCTTTGAGATGCATGCCAAGAGATGAGGAGCCTTGGATCTGGCTTGAAGTGCATGCCTAGTCGCAAATTTGTGGAGCAGGAAGGGGAGCTTTTGGGTGAAGGGGGGAAATAGACAGAAATAGAGGTAGAGAGAAACAACATAGGGGGGAGAGAGAGACTAATCATAAAAATGAAGAAAAAAAGAGAGAATAAGTCAAACTTAATTCATTCCAATCTAATACAATCCAAATGCCTATGACCTTTTTTAGAGCCATGAATATTTGCAAATAACTTCAAAGCAAAAGCAAAATCGGATAAAAGCCAAGCTAATAGAATAGTATCTAATCTGAGTGAGTAAAATCATAAAAATAAACAGGGAAAAAAATCAAGCTTAATTTGACTCTGGTTTAGGATGCAACAGGTTTGAAGCCTATTCTGGAATTTCGGCACTTCTAAAGTCCCCTCCTTTTGGATTTCATGGCAGCGCTCATGTCATAATCAAGTTCTCCAATTGTTCAATGTATTCAGCCAAACGATGAACCAGTTATAAGGTATTTACATTTTCCTAAAAAAATATCTCAATCAGTAGGAAGCAAGAAAATTGATGCAAGTAAAGAAGTGATTCTGAAACTAACACATCTAGATGATTTTGTTAGCTAGAAATGAAACATCAAATGACCTATCAGAAAAATAGACGACAGGCTTCCTCAAAAAGAATACTATCACTCCTTTTGTCTTAATAGTCCATTCAGACGAGAAAAAGGACCTGCACATGCATACAAGGGCTTGTAGCAAGCTTAAACAAACATGTGGTCATGGAAATCAACGGCACAAAAGCGAAGTTGGTGAAGCCATCTTAGTCATCTAAAAATGAAAATAAGTTTACAACATAAACGAAAGTAATAATAAACCAGAATCACAATTGATGCGTATGCAATAGTTTACCTGCTTCCCTAAGGTTGGGATATCTAATAGGATTGTTTTCACAGCCTGAGTGTCCAACAACATCTGTACTGCCAAAGATGAGAGTAAAGATTACAAGATACAGTGGTTCCTCATTGAAAATCAAATGAAAGCACATTATGTATTTACTGTAATGTGATCTGACATTTGCTTCAATCTTCCATATACATCAACAGACAACATGAAATTGCACAAACAGTACCTGCTGTGCGCCAGTTTCTGATATGTGCTTGCACTTGTAAATGTTCAAGTAGAATCGAGGGCCAAGAGAAGCTGCTAACTGCAAGAAGACATGTATTTGTTAAGTTGATAAGTTATATGTTCCCAAAAAAACAAAGCAAGGAAAATAGAATATGGGTAACTAAGGAAAGCTGCTATTCGAGGATTATGGATCCGACAAAATAAGAAAGATGATGCAAATGCCCGGTAAACACAGGATATAGAAGTTCTTGAAAATTATTAAACACAGAAATAGGTTGGACGTGAAACTTAGAAGACATGTTGTGTACAATAAAAGACTTTTTTTTCAACAAACACAAACGTTTTCAAAATCAAATATGATAAATAACATGAATAAAATCATATTCGTTTGATCATAACTCATAAGAAAAAAACAAATCCGCTATTCCAGAATTTTATAAAGAGTTCAGACATTTAATTCTTAAATGCATCGCAAATGGTACAGCATCTACAATTATAACAGACACTAAATCAAAATTGACAACTAAGAGACTAAAATCATATAGTTTTCTCAACCAATCCTGCTATCAGAAATTTTAAAACAGAGATTCAACAGGGCATGAAGAAACATAATCAATAGAATGCTAAAGCACGTTCGGGTATTCCTGCATACACATGAATTAGTTATCCAGGAAATGTTCACAAAATTATTTACAGATGGAGTCGAGGTTTCTTTAATACTAAAAATCATGCAATCATAACAAATGATAAAGTTATATCTGCAAAGAATCGAAAGATGGAACAATTACATGGAATTATATTCTAATGTTGGCTCAAGAAAAACGGCACGTCGGCATGAATCCCGCTTTGCAGACATGGGATTTCAATCCCCTTAAGTCAGATTGTAGTTAACTAAATTTCCCCTGAGGGTAGTGTCGGGGTTTAATTAGATCTGAGTCCTTACTTCCCATGCACTCATAGTTAATTAGCCTGCTTAACATGTAAGAGAAAACTCTCAATTAAAGATGAATAAATTTTAGGTGTTTTAGTTTCAATTGTGGGGAAAATGGAGATAAACCCGATCAAGATCCCATGGTTCCGTCGTCCCAGTATACCTTAGGTTTCAGTCTACAAACATTAACAATCATTGACCGTAATGTCCAGGGAATAGAAGCCATGGGTTGCCTCATCTCAGGGATCCCACTTAGACTGAGGTGATGAGATTTGAGTTTTAGTTTTATTGAGTTTTTGGGGTTTACATCTATTAGAATACCAAGAATTTAGTTTGCTTTGAGATTTGTAAATTTGTTTAGAAATTACCAAGAAGTTTGAATTGTAGCCGGCCTTACAACATCTTCTAGAAGTAACCCAGGTGTTTGAATTTGGACCAGGACTTACGGCTTTCATTAAAAATAGCCTGAAAAAAGGGTCTTATAACTTCTATTAGAAGAAACCCATTGATGAGTCTTATAACCTAGTCCTATAGGTTAAGCTGCTCGTTAATTTGAATTTGATTGTTTGGGTTTTAGGGTTATTATAATTTATTTAGAAATTTTTCTAAAATATAGGTCTTACGACTTCACTTAGAAGTTGTCTAATGGCGGGTCTTACAACCTAGCCTTATAGACTAAGCTGCCCATAAATTTTTAAATTTGGTTGATATGTCTTATCATTCCTTTAGAAATTACATGTTATATTTTGTTTGTTAGTAGATCTGACAGTAGTTGTTGCTAGTTTGACACTAGACTTTTAGCTTTCAATTGTTTACTAGCTTGATACTTACTAATCAGTAGTTGTTGTGTGACACTAATGTTTCTACTATAATACTTTGCTCTCTTTTTTTTTCAGTGTTGTAAACTGTACTAGTAGTTACTTTACAAGTAGTATGTTCTACTATCATTAGCATGTTTTGCTTTCTTTTTGTAGCTTAGTGTAGCACTTGTTTTTTTTTCTGCTTTAGCATTTTAATTTCAATGCTAATGAATTTTGTTTGCTTGTTTGCAGGAGTTTGTGTTGTTTTGGAGTTTGGACATGAAAGTTGGAGAGCCTGCAGGGTGTGTTGAGTTTGTTAAATGTTTGTAAGTTGGAGAATTATGTACAAGGTTTGGAGAGCAGAGTGTTTGTGAGTTGAGTTCCTGTTCAGAGTTTAAAGAGTTTTGCTTGAGAGTTTGGAGAGCAGTGTATGAGAGTACAGTGTAAGTTGTACATGCTGATTAGTGGAACCTGATCTTTCTCTTTTTTATATATTTTATTTAAACAAAAAATCCTCAACTATTAAAGTGATTCTCCCCACATTTTTAAATCATGCTCTAATTTAATCAATTAATCTATTTTTAATTAGTTTAAATTTTAATTGACTAATTAAGCAATCAATCAATTAATAAAAAAAATATTTTTAAATAGATTAATTAATTATTAAATTAGATCTCAAATTTAATTTGAAATTAATTAATTAATTATATTTAATTAATCAAAAGGAATTTTAATAGTTTTAAATTGATTTTGATTTTTTAATTTAACCAATAAATTAGATTTTGATTGAATTAATCAATTAATTAATTTCAAGTTATTATTTAATTTCAATCGATTAATTTTAATTAATTAATAATTTTAATTAGTTAATTACAATTGACTAATTTTAATTAATTAATTAATTACAATTGACTAATTTTAATTAATTAATTAATTACAATTGACTAATTTTAATTAATTAATTAATTACAATTGACTAATTTTAATTAATTAATTAATTACAATTGACTAATTTTAATTAATTAATTAATTACAATTGACTAATTTTAATTAATTAATTAATTACAATTGACTAATTTTAATTAATTAATTTCAACTAAATCATCATATCAATAAATTAATTTTTAATTAATTATTTAATTGAATTAATCAATTAATCCAAATTAATCATTCTCACATTAATTAATTGAATTAATCAATTCAAATTCAAATGATTCTCCAATAGTTTTCTGTAGCGATTTCAATAGCCTGCCAGCATCCCCTCCCCTCATGGGAAGGTCGAGATGGCACTTGACTTTAATTTCTTACCGATCGAGCCTATGGTCGACAGCACGAGGTATTCACTTTGAAACCATCCTGGCCAGACCTAAGGTCGATTGCGCGAGGTCTTCGCTTTGAAACAGTCTAACCGGACCTAAGGTCGACAGCACAAGGTCTGGAATTGAAATCATCTCGGTCGGATTTAAAATCAACGACGCGAGATCTTGAATTAATTTCTTCCCAATTGCTTAAGTTTTAATTTTAATTTTATATTAAATATGAATTATATTGCTTATAAAATGTGATTTTAAACCTCCAACTCATTTTTAATTTGGATATTTGATATGTATGATAAGATGAATTTGTGTTTAAGTTTAAGGTTAGATCATCATATTATTATATTAATTTTCTTATGTTTAAATAATATTATTATTTATTACATCATCAAGTTATTACGAGAATTTGACTTTTAATAGGACACAATGGAGAAAAAGGATTCATGTAGCCGACCCCACGTAGTGGGATAAAGGCTTGATGTTGTTGTTGTTGTTGTATTACATCATCAAGTTCGACCCCGATTGAACTGGTTGAACCATAAACCTCTCCTTCCGGTTCATTGTCCAGTCCAATTTTCAGAGCCTTGATAATTAAACTTATGTAGGCTACATATAACAGAACACAATCAAGTGACTTAATTTTGTGGGTGGTTCTACACGTGTAGTGCTCGGTTGGAATAGAAGTAATGCAAACTAAGTATTGAAGGCAATTCACAAAGTCAAGTTACAATTCACGTGAGAGCGGGAAGTCGTGAGAGGAGCTGCAGGGAGGCGTTCGCGTAGGGGAGAAACACATGCGGGCAGATCAATTTCGATGTGAGAGGCGTCGGGCGCGGGTTGAAAAGAGGCGGTGTGCAGGAGGAATGAAAAGAGGAGTGCAGGCGGATTTGGCTCAGAACATGCGTAGGCGACGTACAACGAGACGTAAGACGTAAGATTAGACTATAAGGGGACAGCTTTTCGCACGTGAGTCTTGCCTTCAGTCAGTAGCGGAAGTCTATATAGGTGTGAATATTAAAGGCATATTTGAAAGCAAAACTTTAGTCGGATGGGGCTGCTGGGCCGCGATCGGAGCAAAGGTGAAGGCAGCTTGGTCTTGTTTGGTCACGAGAATCGCACGCGCAAGCGGAGGGCTGGAGGAATGCATGATTAGGGATGGCTAGCTTCCAACTGGATTATGAGAGGAAGAACCAAGAACGAAACATAAGTCCATTTTTTTTTCTTATGTTTCATTTTCTCTTATCGATTAGATTGTTGTTAGGAGTTATGGTAGCGAAGAGATGAATTTTTTAGACATGAAACTATATGAAGTGGGGCTAGATTAGAGCCTTTGAAGAGATGCATCTCTTTATATATATATATATATATCAACAAATTGCCTCCCAATGAATTTGTTGGGTGCTTTTTCCCACGATGAATTCGTTGCAGCCACCAATTATATGATTTTCATTTCTTTCTTATGTTAATCAGGTGACAATGCTTGATTGGCAGAGACCTTTTTCACTACCTCGTACTGAGCCTTCAGAGGAGGAGATATGGAGGGACATCGATGACTTCGATCGTGCTCAGTCAGCTTCTGTACAAGACCGATTGTTTTGACATAGAGAAATGTTGGTTGACTGAGATATTTATGATAGATTATTTACCCGATCACCTTGCATGCCTTACTTTAATTCAGATTTGTCAGTTAGTCACGGTCTTATAAATTGGATCATTACACTTAGATTGTGGTGCAATGACAGTGCTTCTTTGGATCGGATCATTGAGGGAGTGAGTTATGGGGATCATGCATTTTGCAGCCAATAGTTGACTTTGCATGGCATACAGGTATTGTTAGATTACTTAGTTATGAGTTACTAAATCATGAGATTGAAGAGCAGCATTATGATACTAAGTTTGGTAGTCTTGTTTAAGCTTTGACTGGTTGTATCAGGTGGGCTATTTACACGTTTAGGATATCAGTAGGTACTGAAGTAAGCAGGGGTATATAAAGCCATTTATATCTCTTTATTTGATTACAACTGTCTTTCTTTTTCCTGACTTCAGAGCATCATTGAGCATTGGGACAATGCTACGAATACCTGTTGGATTGGACCCATGACGATTATACTCTGGGATCTATATATCATTTCTTGCATGTCGATTTTAGGTGTTCCATATAAGGAATGTATTCCTCTTGATTATGATTTATTTACCTGCTGACCAGTAGGACAGTAGAGGAAAGAGGAGTTTGTTTACTTGATTGGACTCCACCAAAATTTGAAACACTACTACAAACTCTATCAGCAAAGAAGGAGAGGTCGCAGCCGTAGAGAGACTGTATCTTTAGATATTTGGATTGCGAGCTTGTTCCATTTGTCAGCACTTGTTGCAGAGTTTATAATGATTCAGAATCCTTTCAGAGGGAGATTATATGATACAGAACAATGTTCAGAGGATCTATTTGAGCCAGAATCAACAGATGGTTTGCAACCCGTTTCAGCCATAGGATTTTCAAAGGATATACTATTGGTGTCTTTCATAGCTAACTGGCTATGTTACTTTGTTTTCCCCGGTCATAGTAGGATCTTCCATCTTAGTAGACTTCTGATGGCTAGCTTGATTGCGAGTGGGATGAGAGTTTCACTAGTCCCTGCAGCTCTTGCACAGATTTAACACAGCTTGGGGCAGATTTGCGCTACATACGACAATACTCAGTGTAGTGTGAATTTTTATTGGCACTACCTTCACGGATGGATACATGTACATGTTGCCGACACTTTCAGTTGTCCAGAGCTACCGAGTTAATTTACAGATCATCATTTTTCCTCTCTGATCCAGTTAAGATTACACGTATGCTAAACCATCTGAAGGTATATGATCATGGGTATTTGGTGTTTTTCTCCTAAAGAAGAATAACAAGTAAACTAAACGAATAAAAATACTAAAACACACAAAAAATGTCAATTGAAAAATTCATAAACTGTACGATTTTGGCTTTTGAAGCTTTTACCTTATCCAAGAAAAATTGGAAATAAGTGGGAGAAAGAAGGCTTCCAAGTGTAGGAATACTGCTAGTAAGAATGGAGTTTATGCCATTGACATACCTGCAATTATAATGTGAAAGTTCAAAGACAATGAAAGCTTATATGTTGGGATATTAAATCCAATATTTTTTCTTCTCCATATGAAATTTAATATTAATTTCTTCCACAACATTGACCATGGATTTCCATCTAAGACAAAAAGAAGAACCATCAACTCCACAGAATAAGCATGCATATGCCAAATTATAACAAAAAAAAAAAACAAATGAATGGGCTACGGCAATTAAATTTTAACACCTCTGAACTAAAATAGAACCCTAACAAATATTATTCATTATGCTCTATATTACACCGAGAAAGAAGGCAAACGATATGGAGATGTCTTTGCTCTGATTGGTTGCCATTTGCCAATATGTCAAATTGGGATACAGATGAAAAGAACCAGATAAAATTGAGCAGTTAAACTTTAATGCATCTAAATTGAAAGAGAACCCTAAACCCTAACCCATATCATTTATGCTCTGTTACAATGAAAAAGAAGACAACCAATTGGAGAAGTCTTTACTCGGATTGGTCACCAACGCTTTCGAGACTAGCCCATGGAACACGTGTCATTGCAACCATTTCAGCATCGAACTTAGTTTCAATACCTTGTACTAGTGTCAACAAAGCCTTTGTGATAACTGCGGAATACTCATCCTGTGAAGAAACACAATCATTGATTAACATGCCTAAAATAAATTATAAATAGACTGATTTTATTGATTGAAAAAATAAACACCTGAACTTCAGACATGTCCACCTTGTCTGCATACTGAGATTCAATGACCTTTGAAACATTTTCTGCCAGTTCACCGGACTGTATTTTATAAAGAGATAATAACTTCCTCTTACATGTTAAAGAAATGATATATATATATATATATATATATATATATAGACAGAGAGAGAGAGAGAGAAAGAGAGAGAGAGAGAGAGAGAGAGCTTCTGCTGTAATTAGCCAAAAAAATCAAATTTCGTTTGAAAATATTGGACATAATATGGCATCCTACTCAAGGAAGTCAGCATCTAAGATTTCCAAACCAAGTCGGGTTACTTTCATGGCATTAAATAGTTTCCATCCAAAACAATAAAGCTTAGCCATCACAAAAAAAGTTGTTGGCTACAATGCCCATGATTTTTTTCTTAGCATTAATTAGTCTCAGGATTTCTGGTTAACTTACCGTCTTGTGGCAGTACTCCGCTGTATTAACTATATAGCATATCATTCTCTCATCTCTATCAGACATCTGAGGACACAGAAAAGATATATGACCTTAATGCAAAACTGAAATGCATTACCAGCACCATTAATCAAGTAAAATAGATCAAAGCTCATGGAAGGGAGTCGAATAAAAACCTTTATCTGCACATCCATGCCAGTAGCCGCTGCAACAATACCAATACCAGCTTTGGGTAGTTTAGCATATAATTTTGTTGCATATGCTTTAAGAATTTTTTGAAATACCTGATCACAAAGGACAAATGCAAGTTAAAAATTATCATTTAATTTGAGTGCGTACACACACTAGCGCACACATATATATAAAAAACAAAATTGGTTACAAAGAACTACCTGCAAAACAACAAAGACACAAATACATGTAAACTAAAAGAGTAATATATATTCAAATGGTAAGTAACATGCTCTCCTAAAGAACAAAATAGCAACTGCTAAATCTAGAATGCAAGGCTCAACAGGAGAATTATCATGTCTAGCTTGAAATCTCCAAAAAAGTAATTTTTTTCAATTTTTGCTTCTTCAGGGAAAACAAGATGAAACATTTTTATCCACAAAACTAGATAAATTTCTCATAGAATCTTGAGACTGGTTGGAGCCTAAATCATCAACAACCTTCACTTTAAAACCATCATGAGTATTATTGGGGTACAATGATGTAATATATTAAAAAAAAAAATTAATGAGATTAAAAGTAAATTTGAGACCACAATAGTTTGCTTGAAAGCATCCTCAGACAAGACTCTTTAAGTATTATGAGGCACGAGATCCATAACTGATGATATGACAGAATAGGCGAGACTAGCATTCAACAAACTAATAACATCAAGGCTGTGAGAATACTTTTCAACAAATTAGTAGGTTTAATTTGATCATTTGTATTTGTCACACATAAAATTTGTAAATTCATAATATGAACAATAGGATACCCAAATTTGGATGATCCTTAAAGCAATCAACATATGCAAGATCAAAGATTTTGCAAGATTGACAGCATAAGGGTAAACCCTCAAATTTCACTTTTTGCCAATAATAACAAGTTTAAGCACAAATCCATATCGCTCTAGCCAAAGGAGCATAAACATCTATTTTTTCAACAAGAACTCAGGCCGTGAACAATCAAAAGTCTTATGTTAGCAACATTCACTTGTATTGGTTTGCTAAAAATGGATATAATGAGTGGTGTAGATTGATTAATGAACTGAAAATGAAGATGAGAGAGAACTATTAGACTTTACAGAGCTTTTATATATAGTTTGATCATCGTTATCCTTTTCACAAGCTTGATGAACGGTTAAATCGTAATAGAATTTGATATAACTAGATCCACATCTTATGTTGTAGATCATAATCAATTGTGCATGATCATGAGCATAGAACTTATATGGTGGTAGATGCAAAAAACAAAATTATGATAAGAATACACAATTCCACCAAGGAATATATATATTAGGAGATTTGAGAAATAAATAGTATCATACTATATATACCACCCATTAAAGAAAATTTTGAAAATTAATGCTTAAATAATTGTAGAATTTCGAAAAAATGTGATGCCTAACTATCTTCACAGATGAAAATGATAATCAATGGTTAATTATAAATGGAAATACACAATATGAAAAAATCTTGAAAAAGTGAATGGTAGATAAGTTAGTAATGTTTTCCCATAAGTACTAAAAACACAACTGACAAGGGTTTTATTTGACTTTGAGGCATCAAATTCATTCATATTAGATAAATTTATATAAGCAACATCAGTCATAGTTGCAATCACATTTATCTACTACTATGTCATCTGATTCATCCATGATAATTACTTAGTGTGTTCATGATTATGATATCATGATTATGATATCAATATCAATATTGTGCATATGCCTGCAACACATTGTATTTTCACTAGTTGAGTTTGACCCAATATTGGATATAAACTAGCTATTTACCTATCATGCTGTGGTATATTATCACAAGAGAAGAGTGAACTTTTATATATCTGGTGTGAAAAGTTTTAATGCCCCTGATGCTTGCATGGATTGGATGAACAGAGCCTTCAACTCTTGCTTAAATCGTTTTGTAGTCATATTCATTGACGATATCTTAATTTACTTCAAGAATGACAAAGAGCATGTCCAACATCTCAAAGCAGCATTAAATATGCTTTAGGAGAATAAACATTATATACAAAATTCTCTAACTTTGAGTTTTAGCTTCGGCAAGTAGCAATTCTTGAACACATTGTCAGTAGAGCTAGAATTTTTATAATAATAGATTGGTTGAGGCCAAGCACCACCATAGAAATTAGTACCTTTTGTTGCTCAAGTTGGCTATTACATATATTTTGTGGAAGGGTGATGTGAAACGTAAATGCCATGTACTTGCCTAGGTGGCAAGATTAATTAAATCCCAAATCAATTTGGGGAGAGAATGGAAATCTGAAATTAAATTTCAGATTAAGTGGAATTGGCGGGATGAATTTGAATTGAAATTCAAATTTAATGGGGAGAATTGAATTGGATGAGAGGGAATTGTGGGAGGTAATTATGGAGGCTTAATGAAGAGGCCTATTAATGAGATAGGAGAGAGATTATGCCCAATGAGGGGGCCGGCCACATAGAGAGAGGGAGGAGATTATTTGTCATAAGTAGAGTGGGCCCACATTACTAATCAAAGATTCAATAAAATCTGAATTAAAATTCAGATTTCGAAAGAAAGGAAAATTTTCAATAATTGGGCTATCAATTAGAATTAATTGGAATTTCAAATTCAAATTCACATTCAATTAATATGAAAGCCTTAAATCAAGGAACTATTTTAGGAAAGTCTTCAATGCCTCTTGAAAACAAATTTGAAATTCCCAAGAGGGAGGCCGGTGGCTTGGTCGTCCCAAGGAGGCCAGCGGAGCCGCTGGTGGCGGGATTGGCCTGGGGTGGCCGACGGTGGACTTATGGCGGCAATGAATCAACAACACCAACTTTTGATCAACCACAAAAAAAATTTTGCAGGCTAAAATTTATATAATGTTATGATTATTTAGTTAAATATCAAGCACAACTTGTTGACCCAAAAAAAAAAAAAGTGTTGGGAGATTTAAAAAATTAAAGCCATTTACCCTCTTCCAAATGTAGATTTAGGATGGCACATAAGAATTCACATAATTTGATTATTTCCTTCATAAAAAATATGAAATACAATATCATACTATTTACCATCCAAAATAAAAAAAATAGACATAATTAATTGACAAATGAATAATTGTAGAATTTACAAAAAATGTTGTTAAATCCGAATTTATACTGTGGATGATACCCGACTTTACAAACAGATCTACCTAGTGAGCTAAAAACCTGTTAGTGAAGGTGCAGAGTAGAGAGAATAATGAGATTAGAGAAGAGAGATTAAACTAGTAGAATCTCTACTATACGAATCGGAAAATACAAGAAATAGAAAGCCAAAGGAAAAAGTCCCCAAGTTGTTCCCCATCATCCTATATTTATAGGATTTTGGGAGTCACAGGAAAGGATATACAGAGAAAAATAAAAAATGCATGCTACACATAACACCCGTACAACACTACATGCTAAACTAGGACACGTGTCACATCCTTATTGGTTGAAGGAGGGTGGAGTCAATGGTCGAAAGAGTTGTCTATCGTCCGGTGAGCTCAAGAGGGGTGAGTCTGTGAGAGAATCTCGAGAGGAGATGGACATGTAGCTGACAAGTCGTCTAGTCAGCCCGGTGACTATCGTAGGAGGCTTGAGGTCGCCTTGTCATGAAAGGAGAGCAGAGATGTTGGTGGGGATGAAGAGTATCTAAGATGGAGCATGATAGTAGTTGTGAGGGGTGTAGGGTCTTTGAAATAGGCGTTTGCTTGTAGTTGAGTATGGCGACCTCAGAGGGAATGATCTAATTAAGATGAGTGGAAATCTATGGGGAACTTCTTGGTCACTCAGTGTAGAGCTAGCTCCTTAGCAGTGGTGAGTAACGCCGGTAGTTCTCCTTAGGTGAGTTTCTCTTTTGGTCCCAGGCGAGTCTCTTGAGAGATATACTCCTAAGAGGAGGTGCCCTTGTCACAAACCAATCACTATCTATAAAAACACCTGAGAAGGTGATCATGGGTGTACAAATGTGGTTCCTAAATACTTTCACATGTGAAAATGATACTCAATGGTTAGTAATAAGTTGAGATGTCAAATATGAAAAAAAATCTTGAAAAATTGAATTGCAGATAAGTTGTAACATTTCCCCAGAAATCTTAAAATTAAAAAAGACCACCAAGAGTTAGCATGTCATACAAAAATAACATCAGTTAGTATAGAGAAAATAAGCTAAAAAGAAAAACATAATAAACTAATAAATATATAGCTTCTGTTGAAAACCACTACAGATCACTATCTCAGAAAAATGAGTCCATGCTTAACTTAAACATTTGCAAGATGTCGGGCCATTGTTTTAATATATGTTTTAGTAATTCACTGTCTGCACTATACAGTTGCCATATAATTATTCCATTAGTACAAATAACAAAGTTTAACTAATTTTTAGAGATGCAGAATTGATCAGAAAACAATGGTAAAAACTAGAACTTACTCTTCATCTACTACATACAGTATTACCTCAAACAAGTTAAACAGCGTTTGATTCTTGGTCAATGCACTGCACCGCTTTAAGCTTCTCCGTATTATTAAGAATACCTGCATACACAATATATCAACATGAACCTCCATAATGCATCACTAAACGATATACAACCAGTTTCAAGTAAAACAAAGAGAGATGGAGCATAGCATCTGAATATTTATGATGGAGGTGGAAGAGGAATAAAATCCATATACACAATTTAGAGCAGTCTTCCTGCATAACTTGGATCAAAATAGCACTTGATTGACCTCATAAAATAGTTTCCATTCATCAAATAAAATTATCAGTTACAGGCCATTAGACCCTATTTATAGAAATCGGGTTACAACAGTAAAGGATTCAAAGCTAATCCTATCTTAAACAAAATATTCAAATTCAACCTAATTTTATCCAAGAGAATAATGAAACTTTATAAAATAAAACAAATAAATAAGAAAACATGAAAATTCAGCCAAAAAATGGAAATGAAGCAATCAATTATATTGTAGCTTGGTTAGATCCCTTGTAATTAGCCTATGACCAATTGGACTTTTAAGGGCTTGTTTATTCTGATTAATTGGGGAAGTATTGTATATAAGAAAAGTGAAGAGTTGTGTTAGATAGTCAACAGCCAGCGTAAAACTTGTCGAATAATCATAACATGAATCCTTTAATACATTTGTTAATGCTAGGGCGTTCACTGGAAGCGACGTGTTGTATGTCCTGAATACAGCGACAAGTAAGCAAGGACCGCTGCACCAGCGCCCGGGTGCAATGTTAAATAGGTAAGGATTCCCACATCATGGACGAATGTGAGCAAAGAAGCAAGTCCATGAAACTAAAATTAGAATAATAACTTGCAATATAGGTTCACTTACATGTACATTAATTGAATTAATAGATATTATGATTTGTAGGAAGATAAAAAATATTCTTTGCATCTAGGAAACTAAATGGGTTGGAGAGAAAGCTAAGTAGATTGATAGTTTAGGATTTAAACTATGATATTCTAGTAGGAGTCATACTAGAAATGGTGTAGGTGTGATTATAGATAAGAGTTTGAAGGATAATGTTGTAAAAATTAATAGAATTAGAGATAGAATTATAACTTTGAAGATTGTTGTTGATGCTAAGATTATTAATATAATAAGCGCATATGCTCCTCAAATAGAATTGGATGTGTTCAAAATTAAAATTTTGAAATGAACTAAAAGATTTATTACAAATGATACCTCTCAAAGAAAGAGTTTTTATTGGAGGAGATTTAAATGAATATGTTGGTAGAGATGTGGATGATTTTAAAAGCATTCATGATAGCTATGGCTTTGGAGCAACTAGTGAATGTGGTAAAATATCATATTAGATTTTTCTTTAGCTTATGATTTTGTTATTGCTAAAACCTTATTTAAGAAAAGAGATGAGCATCTCATCACTTATAAGAATGGATATAGTAAAACTCAAATTTATTATTTTCTTATAAGAAAAATTGATCGTTTAGATTACCAAAATTGTAAAGTTATTCCGAGTGAAAGTTTATGTATCCAACACTGCTTAATAGTTTTGAACTTTAAAATGAATGGGCAGAGTATTAAAAATAAAGTAAAGTAAATCGTTGTTCTAGCATTAAATTGGGGCGTTTAAAAAATATTAACAAAAAAAAAATTGAGAATAAGATTCTAAATCTTAAGATTTTGTCAGTGCATGAGGAAAGTAATGTTATGTGGAAAAAAATAGCTAGTCATATTAAGAATGTTGTAAAATATGTGCTTGGAGTATCAAGGGGAAAACTACTAATAGTAAAAATAGTTTGTGGTAGAATTAAAATGTGCAATGAAAGATAAAAAATAAGACAATTTGTTATTAAAATTAGTTTAGATGTAAAAACTCTGATAATTGAAAAATATATAAAGAGGCTTATAAGGAGTCTATGAAAACAATTTGCAAAATGATTTTAGCTTTTAATCATTTATATAATAGAGTGGATACTAAAGCGAAAGATATATGTATAAGTTAGCTAAACAAAGAGATAGGAGTAGTAAGGATTTAATTCAAGTGAAGTATATTAAGGATGAAGATCAAAAAGTGCTTTTATTAGAAAATAATATTCAATAAAGGTGGATGAGATATTTTGCTCAACTTTTTAATGAAGATTATGAGAATGCAATTGACTTTAGTGATCTTAGCACCCTAAATAAAAATAAAGATTTTTATCTTTATCAGTGTATTAGTAAAACTAAAGTTAAAGAGATTTTAAAGAAAATGAAGTGTGAAAAAGCTGTTGGACCTTATGATATTCCAATAGAGGTGTGGAAATGCTTAGGAGATGAAGAAATTTCTTGGCTTACTAAACTTCTAATATTATTTTAAAGACTAAAAAGATGCCAGATAAATGGAGAATGAGTGTGATGATTCGTATTTTTAAGAATAAAGGTGATGCACAAGATTTTGCGAATTTTAGAAGAAATAAGTTATTGTGTCATACTTTTAAACTATGAGAGAGAGTTATGGAGCATAGGTTGCCGCGTGACACTAATGTTTCTCAAAATCAATTTGGATTCATGCTAGGTAGGTTTATGGAAGCTATACATTTATTGAGAGGTTTGATGGAGAAGTATAGAGAAAATAAGGAGGATCTACATATTATTTTTATTGATTTAGCGAAAGCATATGATAAAGTTCTAAGAGAAGTGCTATGAAAAGTTCTACATAAAAAAGGGGTTAATAATGCTTATATTCAAGAACATAAGGATAAGTATGCAGGAGTTGTTATTTGTGTTCAAACACAAGGTAGTTTGACCAAGTATTTTCCTATTTCAATTGGATTACATCAAGGATCAACCTTAAGCCTATATCTTTTTGCAAAGTCGACCCTCACCTCTTTAATAGACTACTATTCTTCTTCAACAAAAGAAGTTAAACACTTTTGCTATCTTCCTCTAGCTTGCAACATTCAAACTTTGAAACAATTTTGTCTAGTACAACGTTGCTTGACTTTGCTAAGACTATTGGAACTACAGCCACTGTTTCGTGACAACACCTTTCTTGCTTAGCCAACCGCACCCCATTCTATTTATGGCTTTTTCACTAGGTAATAAAGCTGTAAAAATAATTGATCATGGATCCAAGTCTATGCCAAATCAATCAAAGTTTTTTTTAACCAACCTGTTTACCCTTCGTTTTGGATCTATTTCAACCATGATTGAATCCATATGCGACTCACTAACAGAAAGAAAGATGACATAGAAGAGATCATTGATTATAGTGCAATGATAACTAAAACACTTGCCACATCTTATGTTTCTCTTTATACTCGATCAAACTACTGATTGGCATGTCATATGCAGCCCTTAACAACCCATAGCATTGTTGATTTGTCCATAACATCTGAATAAGTGTTCATCCTCACAGGCCAATGCTTGATTTAAAAATTTTAAGGGTTGAAACATTGATTTTTCCCATTTAATATACACAAATATTTAGTACCATAGTTCTAACCACTACGGCATAAGTCCATGTATACTTCCAGCAAGGATCCAGCATGGTACAGAGATGCAATTTGTTAACCTCTATGTAATAACCAAAAAAAAATTACATACCTCGTATACATCAAGAAGCAGACCGAATCTCCCGAAATCCAGCAAGAAATCCCGCTGAATTCCTGTAGCTCGGCGCCGTTGCATCGCTTCTCCGGAAACTCTGCCCAAATCCCGTGCCAACTAGACGCCTTTCGCTACTTTAAATACCGAAGGAGATGAAGGCTTCGGCTGCTGGTTACACTCACGATCTCTGCTCACACGAAGCTTCTCCGACGTTTCCTCCTCCGATCTCAGTCAAGCCCCAACCTCCACACCTCCTTCAACCCAAACCGAGAGAAATAGAGAGAGGGAGAAAGAGAGAGCTTCTTACCTGAGCTCCTCCATCCAGTCCGAAGCCGAGCTCCCCGATCTCCTTCCCTCTGCTTCCACGAACAGAGCCGGCCGAGCCCTCTTGTTCCGACATCATCTGCCTTCCAAAATTTACCTCGGAACTTATCTGTTAAAACTCCCTCGCCGAATAAGAAAAGCGAGCGGAGGCCGAGGCCGAATTTTCGGAGCCCACACAATTCAATTATGCGCCAATGATAGGAATTACAAGAAAATATTACACAAGTGCCATGCATCATTCATATTTCACAAATGGTATTTTGGCATGGACACTGCAACATATTCATATCCAATTAAACATTAGCCGTATGAGTTTTCTTTATTTGCTCTAAGCAAAAGATGTTACGACAAGCATTTAGTAATTTAGGCTGACACTTCTAATCCACCCAAGTTCATTAAGTTGCTTGGCAGGCAGGGGTGCCTGTGATTTTTGGTATGTGCAAATAAAAGCTGCTTGTGCATGTGTCCGCATGAAGGTAAACAACAACATATCCAGACACTAGCAAAATATCTGAAGAAAATTTTAAGCAATGCACAACTATAAAAATTTGTTAAAAAAGCAATTAGAAAAGAGAGAAAGGTCAAAATAGTCCCAAAATAATTTAGTGGCTACTATAGTCCCAAATTATCTAATGTGTCTAATTTAGTTTCTTAACTCCTCAAATATGATCCCTTTAACTCCTCAAATATTTTTCAAAATAATCTAACTATTTTAGATCATATTTGAGGAGTCAAGGGATTAAATTGAATATATTAGATAGTTGAGACTAAAACGGCCCCATAAAAATGGTCCAGGACCATTTTGACCCTTCTCTCTTAGAGAATATAAGTTGTAAAAAATGATACCAGAAAACTTTACCTGCATGCTACTTGATAGAATATTTGTCTGACTACCCTCTTCAGTTTCCCAGGTTTCTTCCTATTTAAAAAGACTGTCATAAGCAACTATAGCTAAATCATAGCATAACTCTTGAGCAATTTTCCTACTTGCCATATTTACCTGAACAAGTTTCTCCAAATGTTCCATAAGGGTCTTCTCCTCAAGTTCCACATAAATGGCTAAATGCGGCTCAAAACAGGATGAAATAATACCGTGAAAGTTGAACTGTCAAGTCACAAATATGTGAAGATAATGATTTCAGGGGAAAAAAACGTGATAACCATTAAAAAACAACTAACCCCAGCATCAGGCACGGAAGAGTCCTTATTCTTGTCCTTCCAATCAGTAAACAAAAGAAGAAAAATAAGACCAACTGCAACCAAAACTAGTCCAAATATGAAAATATTCGGTACATACTGGATCTATTCCTCCTCCATTATGCATGGCGAGCTTTTTTTCATATTTCTTCCTGATATCCGAGACAATTTGATTTTTATTCTTAGTCTCATCTGCTTCTTCATCACTTCCAAAATCTCTTTCTCGAGAGGTTGTATTTCCTCCAAATTTGTCAGCTAACTCTTCCTCAAATTCAAGGGTCCTCTGTAGTGCCTGAAATGTAGAGGGGAGATGAAAAAATCACTGCTATTTTTCTTCAGTTCAGAAATTCTGCAATAAAATAATTAAATACATATTCTTGTCTATTCACCAAGAAAAAATTCAAATATTCAAGTTAAAGCATGTGAATGCTTCAAGTCTTGAGAGAGCAAAAACTACCAAACATTAAATCGACTGAGTATTCGTTTCATAAATTTTGGCATATGGTCCATAATCGGTTGCTGATTTAATATTAAATATCAATCCTTCTCAAGAGAACCAGTAAATACTACTTTTCAAATGACGTCATATGATAACTCACTCAAGGATGTAAACCCGATATGATAACACACTCAAGGCTGTATACCCTAGTGACATTTACAACCTCTATTGTTTCTCCATCAACATCGCTTGCTTGGGAAGAAGGTGAAGCTTGGAGCTTTCCCTTCGCAAGTTTTTGCGTTCAAGTGGATCTATGTCATAGTTGAAAGATATAATCTTGCAGTTAAGAAATTCAGGAATTGACATACAGATGTGTTGAATTTTACAAGGTCCATTCTTTAGAGATGTGTCAACATAATGATAGGAAACACTTGTAGATCTCAAGTATTTCCTATCAATCTTCGGAAAACAGCGAGAATCCTTCACAAAAGTCCGCATAAAATCACAAAAACAGTAGATAATTTGTATTATTTGCTGAAAGGAAAACGGAAAATAACAAGATACAATTGATCCTCTATTCGAGAGGAGGATCGATCTCTCCCAAATCTCTAGACGCCGCTAGAGCCCAAAGAAAAACATAATTCTAAGAGATCTCAAATTTCAGCCAAATTCAAGATGCCCTAACCCTAGGAAAACAAAGTATTTAATGCATACAAATCAAAAGGAAATTCCTAAACAGTCCCTATATTCAAATTTTCCTCTCAAAACCCTCAAAAAAGCTTCCTAAAAAGCTTCGCTAGGGTGATCGGGCCGCTCGATCTCTGCATGAGGCGGAGATCCCGCCTGTTTGCGAAATGCCGATCCCGTGCGGACCGGCTGGACCGGTCTAGCAATACTCCCCTCACAAAGATCCACCTTGTCCTCAAGGTGGAGATATACTCATGTTCCCGTGTAAGTGACCATCCTTGATGTGGCTGAAAATCCTTACCAAATTGCTGACTCAAGGGTTGCACCGAAAGAGAAACATTCCCTCCCTCCTACATCCTGATCACATCCAGCTTATGTAGTCCCACCAAAAAATCTTCCCCCACCTCTTGTAGGCCCCTAACCATGGTCTTAAGTGATACCATGACTTTGGATAGCCCTGCATCTCCTCTTATAACCACCTTTCTCCCATCCACTATTAATTCCATTGTGAGTGCTCCCCAATTGTCCTTGGTTTCCCCTAAGATTTGCAACCACTTCATCCCCAGGATGACATCAGTACTTCCTAACTCTAATAGGAGAAAGTCCTCCCTTACCTGAATCTCCTGAATGTTCAACGTCACTCCTTTACAGATCCCCTGACCTTTCTCCACCTTCCCTGTACCCATCATCACTCCATAACAACCGGTGTCCACCAACTTAACTCCCAATTGGTCAACGACCTGAGTGGAAATGAAATTGTGGGTAGCCTCATTATTAATTAGCACCACCACCTCTCTGCCCTCTGTCTCCCCCTTCACCTTCATGGTATGATTCATAATGAATCCTACCACTGAGTTCAGAGAAATCTCAGTCAAATCCAAGTGTAGCTTCTCCTCCATCTCCTCCTCTGTCTCCTCCTCACCTCCCTCCTCAGTTTCCTTATCATCGCAGACGGTGAGAACCTGAAGAGTTCGGTCCTTGCACCGATGACCTGGTGTATACTTCTCCTCGCACCTGAAACACAACCCCTTTGCCATCCTCTCTTGCATCTCTTTCTCTATCAGCCTCTTGAAATTTTCCCCACCCCTCCTACTGGCTTCTCTCTGGTGGTCTCATTAATGTTGTCTGATGCAGGCCCCTTGGGTGTTAAAAGAGTAGTCATCGTCCTGTAAGAGCCTCCTGAGCTGTTGCTCCTAGCTCCCTTCCTACATTCTTCTGATTTTCCACCAGCTGGGCCAACTTCATGGCCTCCCCTAAGTCATGAGGCATCAAAACCTTCACTGCTACTCAGATCTCTGCCTTCAACCCCTTCATGAAGTTTCCCTCCAATACCGTATCTGATAATCGCTCCACCCTACTGGCTAGGTGCTCAAACTACTCCTGGTAGTCTGCTACTGATCCCTCCTGTGCCAGAGCAAAGAACTGCTCATAGAAATTTCCTCCCTGGTCAGTTTGGAAATGTTCTATTATGCAATCCTTGAATTCCCTCCAGTTCCTGATAGGTCTCCTCTGGTCTCTTCACTGGTACCATGACAGTGCCTTTCCCTCCAAGCATAGGCCTGCTGCTGTCAGTTTCTCCTCCTCTGTTAGCCCATTAACGGCAAAGTACCTCTCCACCTTATAGATTGATGTAGACAAGGGATATAGGGAACCCTATATTTCTTGAACACAAAAGACACACAAGAAGAAAACTGACACCACCTCCCTCCTTAGTTTCCTCGTCATCGCAGACGGTGATAACCTGAAGAGTTCGGTCCTTGCACCGATGTCTTGGCGTATACTTCTTCTCGCACCTGAAACACAACCCCTTTGCCCTCCTCTCTTGCACCTCCTTCTATGTCAGTCTCTTGAAATTTTTCCCACTCCCTCCTACTGGCTTCTCTCTGGTGGTCTCATTAATGTTGCCTAATGCAGACCCCTTGGTGCTAGAAGAGTGGTCATCGTTCTGTAAGAGCTTCCTGAGCCACTGTTCCTGACCCCCTTTTCCAGATTCTTCTGATTTTCCACCAGCTGTGTCAACTTCATGGTCTCTCCCAAGTCACTAGGCATCAGAACTTTCACTGCCGCTCGGATCTTTGCCTTCATTCCCTTCATGAAGTTCCCCTCCAATACCATATTTGATAATCGCTCCACCCTACTGGCTAGGTGCTCAAACTGCTCCCGATAGTCTGCTACTGATCCCTCCTGTGCCAGAGCAAAAAACTGTTCATAGAAATCTCCTCCCTGGTTGGTTTGAAAACGTTCTATTATGCAGTCTTTGAATTTCCTCCAATTTCTGATAGGTCTCATCTGGTCTCTCCACTGGTACCATGACAGTGCCTTTCCTTCCAAACATAGGTCTGCTACTGTTAGTTTCTCCTCCTCCCTTAGCCCATTAACGGCAAAGTACCTTTCCACCTTATAGATCCACCCATACGCATCCTCCCCCTCGAAGATAGGCATCTTCAACTTCCTCACCTTCTGATCATTGGATAGCTAAAAAAAAAAGAAAACAAAATACACGATTGTTCAAACTAAATAAAAAGTACAGAATTCTTGATTTCATCATAAAACCACCCATACGCAGCCTCCCCCTCAAAGATAATCATCTTCAACTTCCTCACCTTCCGATCTCCACCATTCCCCCTTATTCCTTCATAGCTTCCCCTCTCCCAAGTGCTCGGCCCACCCCACGTCTCCCGGTCTTCCCTTGCCCTTCCATAGCCCAAACACCCTTCGAATTCCCCTCTTCTTCCTTCAAAATTAACACATATGGCGTTCCCAATCAGCCCCTCTGTACTCCGCTCCCCCATAGCCATACCTTTCCCCATGTCGATCTCCTCTTTCCTCCCCATGGAAAGGCTCCACATAGGGTCTTCTTCTTCCCCTTCCACGATTTCCACCTCTTCTTCCTCCTTACGGATTTCAGAATAGGTGTTCTTTGCTTCTGGGCCCTTCACTTCGGATGCCGCTGTTTGTGCTTGAAGCTCCAACATTCTTTTCATCATATCCTTGAGATCGGCCACCTGCCCCTCCATGGAAGAAATTCTTTCCTCCACAGTTTCTTTGATGTGATTCATCTCTCCTTCAAGTCTTTCCTCCAAAGCATCAACTTTCTTAGCCGCCATTACAATCCGGAGTTTGCAGATTCATAAAATCTGGATTTTGGAGTAAAAAAACAGCAACTTCCTATTTTTTCGGGCAAAAAAGTGCTGCTGGAATTTGCCGAAAACAACCCTCCACCGGTCCCAAGACTTGCTCTGATACCAATTTGATAGGAAACACTTGTAAATCTCAAGTATTTCCTATCAATCTTCGGAAAACAGCGAGAATCCTTCACAAAAGTCCGCACAAAATCACAAAAATAATAGATAATTTATATTATTTTATGAAAGGAAAACGGAAAATAGCAAGATACAATTGATCCTCTATTCGAGAGGAGGATCGATCTCATCTCTCCCAAATCTCTAGACGCCGCTAGAGCCCAAAGAAAAACCTAATTCTAAGAGATCTCAAATTTCAACCAAATTCAAGATGCCCTAATCCTATGAAAACAAAGTATTTAATGCATACAAATTAAAAGGAAATCCCTAAACAGTCCCTACATTCAAATTTTCCACTCAAAACCCTCAAAAAAGCTTCCTAAAAAGCTTCGCTTGGGAGGTCGGGCCGCTCGATCTCCGCAGGATTCAGAGATCCTACCTGTTTGCGAAATGCCAGTCCCGTGCGGACCGGCTGGACCGGTCTAACACCTAAATAAGGGACAGGAGCAATAGGAAAGGTCACAATAGACCTAGCTAAGCAAGTGTTGAATGGAACTAACTAAAGAATATAAACTCGTATCATCTTTCTCCCATGACTCCTTTATATTTACAGCTTGTGCAACACTTTAAGGAAAATGAATTATGATTGGCCTGTGCCTTATAAAATAAGCATCTTAATTTTATTTAAAATCCTAGTAATCCTTTTATTTTCCTTTAAATATAATAATGCCAACTGAGAATCAATTCGATTTAATGCTATAAAGATCTACTACATTGAATTTGTTTGTGTAATCAAAATAAATGAGAAAGTATAGAGAGTAAGTAAAGAATCTTCAAATGTTGTAATTAACCTTGAAAATAATTAAAATTGAGTACAATGAGAATACTTGTCAACCTGGATGACATAGCAGGATACAAAGCTCC